ATGTCATAGGCAGAATTAAGTTTCAGGCAAAATTAAACTTAGTCGAAATTCGTTCATTATAAAAGGCGCAAAATTGAGATGGAAAAACAAACGAACCACTTAGAATGTTTTTTTTTGTATGTGGAAAAAACTTTATTGAAAAAGAAGCCAAAGCTCACCATTCTTACCTTCTCTCCACCCCCTTTTTTGGTCGGGAAAATGAGTTTTACATATGATTAAGTTTGTTAATGATTATTTATGAAAAGGCGCTAGAACGTTGATTCTGTGTTTTAATCTTCGCATTGGTGTAACGGTGATCGGAATGGCCAAGTAAATAGTGGCTGTAAATTGTATGCGTTGAAGCTTGTTAGATCTGTCCATCATGGATTGTGATGACGAATTGAAAAAGTGGTTCTATGAACAGGCGAATCTGCACATATCCTCTTTGAATATCAGATTTCGTGAGAAGTGTGTTATCAAAGAAGCAATGAAAAATAAAATCATGAATTGTTTACGTGAAAACGCGATTACTACGGACGATTTTGATTCACGTTTTACGTCTTGGTGTCGAAATTCGTTTATGGTGTGTGATATCGGCAGCGAAAGGTTTCTATGTGACATGAAATCGAAAAAGCCAGTTCTTCTGTACGAAAACATGTATGAAGTTTACAAGAAAATTCATATTGAAACGGCGCATGCGGGACGAGATAAGTGTCTCGATGCGTTATCAATAAATTATAGTTGGTTCAATAGAGAACTTTTACAGATTTGTCTTAAAAGCTGTTCATCATGCCAACAACGAAAATCAATTAAGAGACCTACTGTATCAAAACCCATCATTGCACTCGGTAAGAAATGTTCATCTGTTTGTTTCTGTGTGCTTATTATCTGATGACTAACAAGTTCAAGGTAGCCGATACAGAATTAAGTTTTCGAATGAGATTTGAACTGATCCGGTAGAAGATCGGTTCTCAGCCATGTTGGGAAGATTTCGAATTTTATCAGAAGTCGGTGGAATAGAATCTGAACTTGGTGACAAAATGTTTCAGAATTTGTTAAAGTTCAACTATCCACGAATTAACAAAAAAAATCTTGTTTTAGATCTCACAGATGACGTGTAATTCTCGAACCTTTTCTGTACAATTTCAATTCAGGATATCATAAAGAGTTGCACCTAATCTTATTGTATCTTATCAGACTAGAAGTGGATTCTATCTAATATGAAAAGAAAATTTCTGTTCAAATAGGCGTTAAGATCCTATAGAAGGTGATTGAAAATTTGAGTACAATCAGAGGCGATGATAATTTCGTTGGAAAAAGACTGCATTGTATAGCATTTTCTTCGTACGAACGGATCGTGTTCGAATCGAAAAAGAAATATAGAAAATAAAGCTTTTATAAATAAATCAGGATGATCGAGATGTTCGAATCGTTATGTACTGATTTGCGGAGTCTAAGTAATTGAAAGTACGCAAGTTCACGAAAGGGAAACATGAAATTATTAATGTAGCAAAAAATCGACTGAAAATAATACAAGTATTGTGTTTCGGCAGTATACTATGAGGAAAAAATTGTCTTGTTCTGTTTCAATAATCCAATTGTGGATGAAATCAGATAGTTAATACTACATGATCTGTTCAGTTTAATTGAGCATGAAAGCGGTGATCGAACACGCCGTCAATGAATAATCTTTATTAAACTTTATCTAAACCGAAAATGCATATAATATCGCTTATGTCGTGTACGTATTTGTTGTTTAGAGTTTATGACAAGAGTACAAATGGATTTAATTGATATGCGAACTCGTCCTGACATGAATCCTAATGGTAAAACGTACAAATGGATCTTGCAACTAAAAGACCATTTTTCGAAATACTGTTGGGGACGAGCACTGCAGAAGAAAGAAGCTCGAGAAGTCTATGACTGTGTCCGCGAAATCTTTTTCCAATTTGGACCACCACATATACTTCAAAGCGATAATGGTCGTGAATTTGTTAATGAATTAATCAATAGTCTTGAAGCAGACTTCCCAGGTATAAAAGAAAAACTTAACATAACTTATTCACTTCCTTACGCAAATACTGTGCTCGATTCTGTAGGGATGAATATTGTACATGGTAGACCACGACATCCACAAACACAGGGTTTGATAGAACGTGCAAATGCGATTTTATCTGATGCATTAGGTAAATGTTATCAAAAAGAAATTAGTAGATAGATTCTGCTCTAATTCTATGTTTCTCATATACAAGTCATTGTCATGTAGATTGTGAGTGATTATCATATCCTCTTTCATGAAAATACTTCTTAGTAGATGACTTAGAAAATAGGAAATCATCTTCATATCTAACGATGTTTTAAAAAGAATAGACTGAAGGTCATGATTGCTGAATTTAGGAAAATGAAAAAGTAATTCATTACCTTGCTGAGTGTGATCGTCAACACTATTTAGTTTGTACTATACACTTTCAATTGATATATCTATCTGACAGTTCTATTATTACTCCTTGGTGTCTGATAACTACTGATGTGAATCGTTTTCACGAACTGAATATGATAGTCTTGAATCATCACGATGATTTGTCTGTACACTACGTAATAAACCTTCTCACTATATACAAGTTCAAAAACCGTAAGCACGATTCATATCGTAAGAGATTTTTCAGTTGACTTCTCACTTTTCTAGTGTCCCTTATGAGATCAACGTCAAGTAATTTGAAAATGTGTTCCTCTCTGTGTCCGCTCTGCACCAATCTATTAAAAGAATATACACATATGTAAATAGTCTCCCTTCTCTATAATTACTTCAGCCAAAGTCAATCAACATAATCATGATCGTAATAGACCTTATATGAAAAATTTATTTACGTTCGCATCAGTTTGTACGAACGGCAATATCGAGTATTTGTAGAGCAACAATACATATTCTTCTTGATCTTTTCAATATTGAATACTTTGACTCAATTATTTGAAAGTGGAAGTGAGCCAGCAATTAATAAATATACACGATCAAAATGACGGAGAGAAAGAGCTATAAGCCTTTTTCTTTNATCATGATCGTAATAGACCTTATATGAAAAATTTATTTACGTTCGCATCAGTTTGTACGAACGGCAATATCGAGTATTTGTAGAGCAACAATACATATTCTTCTTGATCTTTTCAATATTGAATACTTTGACTCAATTATTTGAAAGTGGAAGTGAGCCAGCAATTAATAAATATACACGATCAAAATGACGGAGAGAAAGAGCTACAAGCCTTTTTCTTTCTTTAAATTTCGATTGAACTTATCTTTTTCGTAGAATAATCATAAGTAAACCTATTCTTCCAACACTTTTTGGGTGTGGAATTCGATGCTTCACTATGATTTTTGTTTCATCATTACTACTGAATGAAAAAATTCATGAAATGATATTAATAGAAGAAATTTACCTACATGTTTGATGTACAGAAACAAAAATCGAGGAAAGTTCGATTAGAATCGCAAGTGTATCTAATTGATAAGGTGGGAAATAAGTTCTCGAACATTCAGAAAAAAACACTTGCAATAAATTACCTATGTCCCAAAACGATCAAAATAGAGCCGATCAAATCTTCTACAATAAATAACTAGACAGTGATAATATTTACGAGATATATTTGTTCTAATTTTACTATTCATGAAAGGAAAGTGGATGGAAGATCATTCTACTGATCATTGGTCTGATGGTCTTCCACCTGTCATTTTCTCAATTAATACGCGGACAACATGTACGACGAAGAAAACACCATATCAACTTGTCTTCGGTCAAGACATAAGAGCCGGCCGACATCATTGGAATTCAATTCACGAGTCGGCGAAAAGAAACAATATTGTTATAAATGATCTATTAATAGATAAATTTGGAGAAGGTTATGATGAGAATTCGAATGAAGACATGCAAACATTCACAATATCAGAGTCAATCAGTGAGGATTTAGGTTAGTTGAAATAAATGTTTGAATTATTCAAGAACTTCTCTATTATCATCGATACTAGAATCCACTGGATCCGAGAAACTGAATGAAATAAAGCAAAACACAGATACGAATTTATTATCTACGAATCAAACAATTACCACGAAAACGTGTGTTAACACATTTCATATTGATTGTAAGACAGAAAATTGAACAATTTCTTTTCAATTCTTTAGCCGACACGAATCACAGCGAGAATCTGCCCGTGTCAACTATATCAAATGTCAAACCAAACGACAGAAGATTTATGACCAAGAAATGGAGAAAATAGCTGAATCATATCGGGTTGGAGATTTAGTTGGTGTATCTATCAATAAAGTCGATCGTACCAATTGTGATCCAAAAGTCATGCCCTGTATTATCGAAAAGAAAACGAACGATAAGAATAATACCAATTTTTATTTGATTACTCCATACGGACGATTGTCAAACCCTTTTCCAATACATCATTTAATACCTATGTCTGGTGTGAAACCAAAAGAATTAGAGAACATAATCTACGATACGTTACCAACTATCACTCTGATTCAAGCATCAAAATTATTCGCTAGAGGTCAATCAACGGCAGTTTGTGATTGTAAAACTGGTTGTGTAAAAAAGACTTGTCCCTGTCTTCGCGCTTCAGTTGCTTGTTCTACGAAATGTCACGTTAAACGTCCGAATTGTTCAAATAATCAAAATTAACTGAGTATTACTGTGTATAGAATAAAAGAAATCTCGAGATTGTACTAAAGAAATCTACGCCTTATTCAAAACATGTCTTTCCAAATCCAACGCTTATTTTTACAAGGCACACGATTACAACGTATTGAGAACTGTTTTTCTTTAATGTTTAAATAAATAGTACTGTCGTTGTAGTAATCTTCGTGGAAATTCTTACATGTATTCATATTTCGAATATTACATAAAATTAATCTTCCATTTCTGCCCGTATTGATAGAATGGATTATTCCTGGAGATTCAATATTTGTCAAATATTCCTTAACCCATTTTTCTACATAAGATTCTTCATCATTAAGAACATTGATATCTGTGATGTTTCCATGATAGCTTCTTTTTCTGTCTTTCGGAACAGTGTGAACGTATCGTTTTGTATCGGAACATTTCTTCAAATTCACCAACTTCATCCATTCGTACAATATCTCACGATTTACATAAACATTTTCTTCTGTAGCTGGAGCAGTAATCAAACTTCGTTGAAGCATATCCTTCATCATCAAAATCGTCGTTTCCTCGGTAATAATAGTTCCTTTAAAACAAGGCTATAAATGGAAGACATCTACTCAAAAGGAAGATATTAACCTTCTACTGATCTATATTGATCATTTTCTTCTCGGCTAGTATACTTCAATAGTGGTCGGACTTCTCCCATCTTTGTACACATAAACATCCGAAAATCTTGTTCAGCGGAATAAACATTCAAATCGATACAGGGAACAAGGTGATGATTTCGATTGTATACGAATAAATTGGAAACATCATTTACCGGAAATTCAATCTGCCCTATCTTGCATTTTATACAACCAAAACATTCTAATCGAATGCGTTCAAACATTTCCATCAATTCTGGCAAGGTAATATCATCATTGATATTGTTTATCAGACAATTTCGATTATCTACACATTTATGTCTGAGAGTATTCAATAAAATATATCGAATGACTTCTCGAATGAAAAGATGTAATGAATCCGTATCAATAAATCGAACATGTTCATTATCAAAGATAATATGATAACTACGTTTTTCACATGATGATGACTCTAAGATGATCATATCATCTTCTGATATGCTGTCAATCTGAATAAGTAATCTCATCATAGTCACGAATAACTTCCGAATTGACAATAACGCCTTTTGATTATCGACTATTGAGTTTTCGGGAATTTGATAATATTCGAAGTCCAGATAAAATTTTACTGCATCGCCACGACTAATATGTTCATAAAATGTTCGTTTATCAACTTGTATTCTCTGTATCAATTTGAATAAGTCTTCGAATGAAATGCATGAGTACTGTCGCTTTTTGTCCTTTAATTCAATGGATATACGATATTCATTTTCTTTGATACGACGTGTTGGGCAATGTGCAATTTTCCAATGCACTTCATGTTGAGGTAGAATCATCTCAATGTCTATATTCTTATATGGCATTTCGCATACAAATTTGTGTATCTATCAAATAACTCAGATTATCAATTAGGCGCCGAAACACATCTTTAGGAACGCGTCTTTCTACTAGATTTGATTAGTGAACATATAAGAGATTGATCAGATTGAACGAAACACGAACAACTAGCTCTATGGAATCATACAAAACTAGAAGACGCAAATACGATATTGAAGAAATCAACGAACTTTTCGAGAAAAATATTGAATTAGCTTCTCATATCGATTTTGACATCGATAAATGTATACATCCTACAATTAAACCGTGGTTACAGAATTATGACCATGCAACGAGCGCACAGGCTTTGAGCTTGTACTATGCTCTGATGAGTGCGATAGCTCATCTGTCAATCGAAAGTGTTGTGCTTCAATGGAATCGCATACCTCGACATTTCAATTTGTATTCTATCATTCTTGGATGCTCTGGTATAGACTGTTCTTTCGTGTCATAGTCAAAGCTCTTTTGTCTCTTAAATAGGCGCAACAAAAAGTGGTTGTATTCGTGAATGTCGAGAAGCACTAGAAGAGCTTTATGACTTTCTGCATATAAATAACATTGCCAATCCGAACCTTGCTAACTCGATAATCGACAAATTCACCGAAGCCGGTTTTCTTGATCAAGTACGAACATTAAGAACCACTCTCACGTGTTTCTATCTAATTTCTCCTAAAACTCTCGCTCACTAACTATTCTATGATTGCTATTAGCTAAAACAATCAACAAACATCATCATCATACAGGAAGAACTCGACATTGCATTGAAACAAATGGGTTTCTTTTCTACCAACACGCAAGATTCATCTCGCCAATTATTTTGTCAGTTATACGATGGACTCAACATGAGAAAAAAGACAAAAGGATATTCGCAAAGAATACGGCATGCTCGTATGACGATCTGCGGAACCAGCACAGGTGTTTTGATTCCACCTATTTTACAAGAATTCCTGAAGCACGTGATGGTCGACGGGGCCGTTGTACGTTGTCTTTTTCTTGTATTGTCTTACCGTCCTTACCTACGAGAACATCATACCGATCCGAATCTGACTTTACCAACACTTGCCCAGTTGTTGATGGCGATTTATATCCTGGGCAAACGTCAGTATCTATACAGCGAAGAATCACAGATGAAACTCGATACGTATATCGAACGCATATCACAACAAGCAACAGAATCAGACTTACCACGTATCACCTCATTTCTAGCTAAACAAGCAACGCAAATCACTCGAATCACAGCACTAACACAAGTAATTGATTTACTACCATCAATTTTTGAAAATATTCAAATGTGAGTAGTTCTTTACAATAAAAAAAAATTCCGAAAGCATATTTCTTTGTTAGACTTCGTGAACGAAATGACGCCATTGGATTGAACATTCGACTGTTCAATGAAATTGATAGTGCAATTCGAAGACTATATGGGCCACAGATTACAATCACTGAATCTTCTGTCGATCGAGCCATCTACTTTCATGGTTATCTCGTTGAACAAACGTTGAAACTATTCGACGTCACGACATTAGAAACAATTGGACCAAAATCGAATCGTTTATCTAGCTTTGAATTGAAACAGTCGTTAATCCGAGAGATTCTAATGTTACCTCAGATCATTATCACCAAAGAAGATCTATACGAACAGAACGGTAAGAATTTGTTCGCTTCTATTTAAATAAAACAGTTCGAAATCATATCTATTTCCATCAATTACACATCATTTGAGATTTAACGGATTGAGTTATTCATTGCTTGTATCGATGAAGTATCAAAAACTTCAATACTAACATATGCATGTATTCCCATTGATTTTCATTTGATCGAGTCACTCTAACGTATTCCCATTATTCTTCTCGGTATTGTTGGCGCAAGTTCTTGAATCTGTATGTCACACAGACTCATTCATCTATCAACTAATATACTTTCTCTTCCAGATATAGAATACTGACTGATCCCTTTTCTCTTACAGATCACAAAAAAATCGATCGTGCACTTGGTACCGATGGTTTACAAACATTAGTTAGTGACGGCCTCTTACTTAACGATTATTTCGTCTTCACCAACACATATCGACCCATCAAATGCTATGCGAAAGTATTGCCAAAGGACACGATCGATGCTAATTCGATTCAAACTAAGTTACAACGATACAACATTCAACTCACAGATTATATCGATGCATCCCGAACAACTGGCATTCACTTATCGTCAACGTTGACGACAATCGGCAGAAACTTATTTTCTGAAGAGCCATATTCGAAAATTTCCGATATCGCCCCAGTGTTATCACATTCTCGACCAACCAATACACTACATCGAACAACATCATCAAACACAAGCATTGCCATCGTACCAGAAGCATCGAGTCACAGAATTTTCGATATTCCAGACGCGACAGATTTCTCGGTATATTACATCATGTCATTAATTTCGTAAATAATCTAATCTTTTCATATAAATTTCTAGATTACACAACAAATCACTCATATTTCAAGGAATTCAACGGTAGTCAAACGACGTCGCATCGCAATGAGTAATACTTAAGTGGCACGAATAAAAACATTTTTCCATTCACCCTCTCATTTAGACGCAATTCGACAAGAATCAGATATCGCTGATGACGCCGACATCATCGTAACGAATGACTTTCTATCTGAAGAATGATAGTTCAAACTCGTAATCCATTTCATAATACCACTAATATTGCTGTTTTAAAAATCGAGTTTTACATATCAAATAATATTCAAGAAACGAAAACTCGATCATGGTTGTCATTTTTCAAGCGCAAACCTTTTATTTGCTCCATAGAAACTGCCATTTTTTGTCGATATGCATATACCGCTTGTTCGCCGATATATATGAAGTATTACAAAGAAAAATACAATTTGTACTGTCTTTTCATGCTAAAGAAAATTCGCTGCATTCTCATTAACTACCCATGAACATTGTCCATCATTTTAGCTGAGATCAGCTAAAGAGTACTATTCTATATGCCATCACCTATGAGAAGTCTATAGCTTCCATTCGTTCATAGAAACGTCATCTCCGTTGAACTCCTTTCGTGCAGAAAATTTCTAATATCTTCTTTTTCATCCCTATTCAAACCAAATAAATGCTCCATGTACGAACAAAGAACACTTTTAGTCAGATTAAAAACTTATTAGAAGGAAAAGTGGAAACTTCACGAAATTTTGAAATCTTCAATCTCCCGTAAGGGCAACCAGACAACGTCTTTATCATTCAGCTATCTTAGGACTTTTCCTGTACACCCTAAAAGAGATTAATTGAAAAATGTTCCTTCAATTCGCGACCGTTTTTTCTTCGAAAACCAATGCTATTGTATTTGCACTTGACTTCAGTTGAATAAACAAAGAAAAGCAATTCTCGATCAAAACTACTCGTATTTCTGACTAATCTTTCGAGAATAAAATTCAGAACATATCGATCAATAAATACCACACATTGTTCTTCTTCTCCTCAAATAAACATCAGCATCAGAACTCATTATGAAGAAATACACCCTAATGAACGTGGTATACTACGAACTATTCATTAGCACGTCTGTGTACAGAGCGCACTATTCAAACTGATCGAACCGATGTCTGCTCATTAACGAAGATTAAACATTCGTAATCGAAGTTTGTTTCATATACCATGCCACGCGCAAAGAAAACCATCAAATCAAACCAAAAAAGAAAAAAAACCAGTCGGAATCAAGCTTCAAGTCAGTCTATAACTGCCACACTCGATAGTGATCTTCTTTTCTTAACATGCCTAGTTTCTATATTCGACATACTCGACAACGAACAAAACCGGAACGAAGACGTAAGAATCACTTCTCGTATTATGATCAATTTCTTTTCATGATAAACTACAATCCACCTCTAACGTTACAGGTGAATCAGCAGATACTCGTCATCAAACAAATCATGTTGCAACGAATAACGATGGTGCACGGCCGACAGAACAACCAGAATCATCTGAAGTAGGACACTTTTCATCGACAATTACAATATCTAGCCAATCCTCCCAATCGAATCTTAGTAAATAATACAAGTCGATTGAAACTAATAATTCTATTCTTGTAAAAGGTCATCACGAATTTGATCAGCCCGATTTTCATTCTAATCTTCACAACGAAGTCAAACCAAATAAATCAAGTCATTCGTTAATAAATCAAAGAACTACACATGAAATATTAAACATAACGAGACCAAATCTTACGACAAACGAAACAATACACAATCAACAACAGAATATCGGTAAGACAAAGAGCCATTCTCTGATTTGCTAAAAAATTAGTCGATCAATTTGATTGTCACTTTTCTTCTCTGAACTGAAGAATCAAACTCACATCCAATAGATACGTTGACGAACGTTAATGATGATCCATCAGCATCGAACCGACAAAGTAATCGAACAATATTATTCTCGTCTTTATTGTTTTTCTACTCATCTTTCCATAGCATCAATTACCACTTATTTTNAAACAATTGGACCAAAATCGAATCGTTTATCTAGCTTTGAATTGAAACAGTCGTTAATCCGAGAGATTCTAATGTTACCTCAGATCATTATCACCAAAGAAGATCTATACGAACAGAACGGTAAGAATTTGTTCGCTTCTATTTAAATAAAACAGTTCGAAATCATATCTATTTCCATCAATTACACATCATTTGAGATTTAACGGATTGAGTTATTCATTGCTTGTATCGATGAAGTATCAAAAACTTCAATACTAACATATGCATGTATTCCCATTGATTTTCATTTGATCGAGTCACTCTAACGTATTCCCATTATTCTTCTCGGTATTGTTGGCGCAAGTTCTTGAATCTGTATGTCACACAGACTCATTCATCTATCAACTAATATACTTTCTCTTCCAGATATAGAATACTGACTGATCCCTTTTCTCTTACAGATCACAAAAAAATCGATCGTGCACTTGGTACCGATGGTTTACAAACATTAGTTAGTGACGGCCTCTTACTTAACGATTATTTCGTCTTCACCAACACATATCGACCCATCAAATGCTATGCGAAAGTATTGCCAAAGGACACGATCGATGCTAATTCGATTCAAACTAAGTTACAACGATACAACATTCAACTCACAGATTATATCGATGCATCCCGAACAACTGGCATTCACTTATCGTCAACGTTGACGACAATCGGCAGAAACTTATTTTCTGAAGAGCCATATTCGAAAATTTCCGATATCGCCCCAATGTTATCACATTCTCGACCAACCAATACACTACATCGAACAACATCATCAAACACAAGCATTGCCATCGTACCAGAAGCATCGAGTCACAGAATTTTCGATATTCCAGACGAGACAGATTTCTCGGTATATTACATCATATCATTAATTTCGTAAATAATCTCATCTTTTCATATAAATTTCTAGATTACACAACAAATCACTCATATTTCAAGGAATTCAACGGTAGTCAAACGACGTCGCATCGCAATGAGTAATATTTAAGTGGCACGAATAAAAACATTTTTCCATTCACCCTCTCATTTAGACGCAATTCGACAAGAATCAGATATCGCTGATGACGCCGACATCATCGTAACGAATGACCTTCTATCCGAAGAATGATAGTTCAAACTCGTAATCCATTCCATAATACCACTAATACTGTTGTTTTAAAAATCGAGTTTTACATATCAAATAATATTCCGGAAACGAAAACTCGATCATGGTTGTCATTTTTCAAGCGCAAACCTTTTATTTGCTCCATAGAAACTGCCATTTTTTGTCGATATGCATATACCACTTCTTCGACGATATATATATGAAGTATTACAAAGAAAAATACAATTTGTACTGTCCTTTCATGCTAAAGAAAATTCGCTGCATTCTCATTAACTACGCATGAACATTGTCCATCATTTTAGCTGAGATCAACTAAAGAATACTATTCTATATGCCACCACCTATGAGAAGTCTATAGCTTCCATTCGTTCTTAGAAACTTCATCTCCGTTGAACTCCTTTCGTGGAAAAAATTTCTAATATCTTCTTTTTCATCCCTATTCAAAGCAAATAAATGCTCCATGTACGAACAAAGAACACTTTTAATCAGATTAAAAACTTATTAGAAGGAAAAGTGGAAACTTCACGAAATTTCGAAATCTTCAATCTCCCGTAAGGGCAACCAGACAACGTTTTTATCATTCAGCTATCTCAGGACTTTTCCTGTATACCCTAAAAGAGATTAATTGAAAAATGTTCCTTCAATTCACGACCGTTTTTTCTTCGAAAATCAATGCTATTGTATTTGCACTTGACTTCAGTTGAATAAACAAAGAAAAGCAATTCTCGATCAAAACTACTCATATTTCCGACTAATCTTTCGACAATAAAATTCAGAACATATCGATCAATAAATACCACACATTGTTCTTCTTCTCAAATAAACATCAGCATCAGAACTGATTATGAAAAAGTACACATTAATGAAAGCGGTATACTACGAACTATTCATTAGCACGTATGTGTTCAGAGCGCACTATTCAAACTGATCAAACCGATGTCTGCTCATTAACGAAGATTAAACATTCATAATCGAAGTTTGTTTCATACACCATGCCACGCGCAAAGAAAACCATCAAATCAAACCAAAAAAGAAAAAAAAACAGTCGGAGTCAAGCTTCAAGTCAGTCTATAACTGCCACACTCGATAGTGATCTTCTTTTCTTAACATGCCTAGTTTCTAATATTCGACATACTCGACAACGAACAAAACCGGAACGAAGACGTAAGAATCACTTCTCGTATTATGATCAATTTCTTTTCCTGATAAACTACAATCCACCTCTAACGTTACAGGTGAATCAGCAGATACTCGTCATCAAACAAATCATGTTGCAACGAATAACGATGGTGCACGTTCGACAGAACAACCAGAATCATCTGAAGTAGGACACTTTTCATCGACAATTACAATATCTAGCCAATCTTCCCAATCGAATCTTAGTAAATAATACAAGTCGATTGAAACGAATAATTCTATTCTCGTAAAAGGTCATCACGAATTTGATCAGCCCGATTTTCATTCTAATCTTCACAACGAAGTCAAACCAAATAAATCAAGTCATTCGTTAATAAATCAAAGAACTACACATGAAATATCAAACATAACAAGATCAAATCTTACGACAAACGAAACAATACACAATCAACAACAGAATATCGGTAAGACAAAGAGCCATTCTCTGATTTGCTAAAAACTTAGTCGATCAATTTGATTGTCACTTTTCTTCTATGAACTGAAGAATCAAACTCACATCCAATAGATACGTTTACGAACGTTAATGATGAACCATCAGCATCGAACCGACAAAGTAATCGAACAATATTATTCTCGTCTTTATTGTTTTTCTACTCATCTTTCCATAGCATCAATTACCACTTATTTTGCACCAACTGATGAACAATTTCAACGGATAGTTGATCTTAACGAACATTCAACGAAGTGCGCAAATTGTATAATCACATACACGATCTTTAGAGCATTCTTTTTCGTTTAGTTTCCGAATACGATCAAAGATTATTTACCTAAGCAACGTCAGACATTTCGGGTCCAATAAAGTCATCGATGGTATTCTTTCAGATGCATCCGGGGAAATCAAATTTGTTGCATTCAACGATCAAGGCGAACGCGTAACCACAAGTCTCAAAGTGAACGAAGTAAAGATACAATTCAAATATGATGATCCCGTTTCAACGTTTCTTTTCTAGAATATAATACTTCAAAATGGTGAAATCGCAATTGCCAATCCACGGTATCGAACTCCTTTCTCACGATTTGAAATTCGAATTTGCCCATCGACAGCTATTCGAACATATCAATCTAACTCATTTAACCCATTAATCCAAATAACTAGAAAACCGTTGCATGAAGTTCTTCGAATGCCACATGGAGCATTAGTCGGTAGGATAAACTTTCGGTCTTTTAAGTCATCCACGAATTTTTTCTCTTTATCGAATTAATATCTTATGCAATCAGCAATATGCCTTCTACGATTTTATTGAAATCGCTAAATGCTAGTATCCTTATTCTTTGTAAAACGTTCCAGTTTTTGCTCAGCCTCATTAAAATCACACACATTATTCAATCATTCGATATGAACGCTCTCTGATAATTTTTTTTCTATAATAAATCTATACGAATAAACATTAAATTTGCGATTATTTATCATAATAAAACACACTGAAATGAACACCATACCAAGTCAGAAAGTACACGATCGACTGCACATGCCTTGTTCAACCACACATGCAGCCTACCCTTGTTGATTCTATGTCGTTTCAATAAATACCTATCTATAGTTTATATCACTGATCTAAATAATAAATGGTTCATAAAATCAGTGTTTTTTTTTCTCTTACTATCCGTTATTCCTCGAGAAAATCATCTTTATCTAGAACCACCATTATCTGAAACATAATCATTATTCTTCTTCGTTTAGACGTAGAAGGAACAGTCATATTAGATCGTGGTTTGATAAGTTCTACTGGACATGATGCTACAAATCATATTATCCGGCGAACTTTCAAAATTACTGATGACACATCTACAATCAATGTTACCGCATGGAACGAAAAAGTAAATAAGAACATTTAATATGATTTATCCACAAGCAGACCATTACTAATATTTTGTCTTTTATCCGTGTTTCAGACAGATGAGATACCTGAAAACATCATGAACAAAACTATTCGTATACGAAACGGCAAGATCAATTACTACAACGGTAACCGTTTATCTTAACGATTGAATCACATGTCGTCTTTCTTTAACTTCTCTCTAGACTATATATCAATCAATGCTTCCTCGCAAACCATCATTCAATTCATCGACTAGAAACCGTTTCAATAAAAACGAAACTAAATAAACGTTTAATCGCGATAGAAATTTTCTTCGCCTGTCTCATTCGGCTTTTCTTTGTTTATTATTAATTTAATTCAATAAAGGTTTATCAGATGTCTAACATGCCTAATACAATGACAACCGTAGTCAAAAGATCGCAAAACCTCCTAATAAACAGAATCGATGAGTCTAAACACTGGACTGTAAATTCGACCGAATAGATGTTTTCAATACCTCTTTCATTATTTGAACCCAGTAATTTCACTTCAATGATTTGCCAATACAAAAAAGTTCCCCATTCCAATATCTTCCATTTTATTTTTCCCAAACTTTCTCAGTTATTTATTCGCCTTATCATTGTTTATTGCATTTTTACAGCGATAAAATCGAAGGACTTACATGTTACTTTACAACTTGTTGCCAGGCACATATGAGAATCGTAACTCAACGACAAACAAAACAAGCATTACCACATACACCGCCTCAATACCTTCAATTTCAATGAATCGTCATCAACAAACTCTACATCTTCTTCAAATCCACTTCGATTTCTATAGGATACAGCTCGCGAACTCTACATCTTCTTCAAATCCACTTCGATTTCTATAGGATACAACTCGCGAACTCTACATCTTCTTCAAATCCACTTCGATTTCTATAGGATACAACTCGCGAACTCTACATCTTCTTCAAATCCACTTCGATTTCTATAGGATACAACTCGCGAACTCTACATCTTCTTCAAATC